GCCCTCTACGCTTTTTAAATCGACAAACAGTTATCGCAGGGCGCAAACTGCAATCGCTTGTCATTATTTTGGATTATCGGTTACCGTTAATTGACGGTCGAACGCAATGTATCGTACAGTCTGTTCCCGATCGAAACTATTATCGGGTCAACGAATATCACGACGATGCCTGTCACGGTGAGAAATAACACGATCGGTCGAATCGAACAAAAGAATTAACGGGAAAACCGTAGGATAGTATCACGCTTCATAAATATCTCCGTAAATCAATTAATTGACATGTTATGTATATTGGACTCGCGTTGTAAAATGTTTGCCGGAATATCAATTGTTCATTATGAAGCACAATGATTAATCAAATATGTATAACAACCATATCATCGCAATTATATTTTAATGAATAAACAAATAAATAAATTTCTTTTGTTGCCCTCGGATAGAAATTTTCTCCTGATACCTTTCAGCTAGATGCTCGTAGGATTACGTAGCACTAGATTAGTTGTCTTAAGATAAACAAGTTATTGCTAGTTTGGTAACATCCACGTTACGAACAACAAACAAACTATGATGCTTGCACCCATACCTATTATCCATTAATGTAGAATACAGAACAGCATAATTAGATGCGCATTAAGCAAACAATTTAGCTCTTGCGCTCGTACAAATTGGCGCATCGTGATCTGCATTGAATAAATAACGTTATGGCTATCCAAGCGTGAAGCGTAAAAATTTTATCTTTTTTTAATATTACGTTTTGTTTTTACAGCTCTTTTCTTCAGTACTGAATTCGATATCAACGAATATCATGCGAAAATAAAACAAATTATAACGTAAATTTTTTCTTACAAAATTTTGATAACACCGGTTGAACAATTTATTTAAATTTTTTTATATTTCGCTCTCGATAATTTTTATTCCTAATTTCTGTTTTCCCTCATATCTTCTTATTAGAAATTTTATCTTCATCTCTTTTTGCATTACACGTCCTCCAACCGCAGCGGAGCAGCAAGAGGAACGTGCTGATTGGGAGGCTAATCACGCGCTACTCTCCATTACATTAATTAAAACTTAGCTCTCAACTCTGCTCGGCTTCTACGTCATCTGCCGCGCCATTCGCGTTGTCCTTTCCTTCCTCTCATCATGCTCGCGTTTCCGATGTTCCCGCGATCACTTTGTCTTCGCCCAGTCTACCTACTCACGTATGCCATCGCTTCTGTATTGCATTTCCTAAGAAAATTATGGTTGCCTCCAACAATATGGATATGAATAAATGATAAACTTGTTCTTCATCGAAATTACTTAAATTGATTCAACCCTTCATTTACTACCTTTTTGTTAAAACAAAATTCTCTTCATTAATTGTGTTTTTACAAAATCAATAATTAATTATAAAAATCATTTCTCCAAAAACTATTTTTTGTCTAAAAAAATTAAATTCAAAACTAAATATCACCGCGTTACTCATACAAGAATTCTGCAATTTTTTAAATCAAAAATTTTAAAACAATTTCTCAAAAATAAATATTGTAAGTGGAAAGAATCTAGTACGTACAAATAAAGATACTGCTATTAACATTGTTCACTTTATGTTCTCTATTTGTTATTCTAGTTTTGCCTTCAGGAGTTGTTCCCAAAGGATTGCACTTTCAAATAGGTACCAAATGGAGAATTACTCTCAATTCAACGTTCACCTTGGATTTCCCGGTGTCCCATAGAGTTTTACTGTCGAGAATTGTTCCCAGATTGAGAAATTTCGAAACTTTAATTTTAAAGTATTGGGTTGTCCGGAAAGTTCGTGCCGACTAACCTATATAATTTAATAAATGTATAAATGTACTAAAATTTAAATCTTCTGCGTTTCAATTTTCCTTCAAAATCGGCACGAACTTTCCGGACAACGCAATACCTATTTAAAATGTAATGTGTATTTAAAATTTTCGAACAAATATTTATCCACAAGTATCTCTACAATTCTAAATAAAGAAAATATTGATAAATTTATTTTATATTAATTTTGTATTATTATATATTAATTTTGTAATAATTAATTTTGTATTAGTAAGTTATGAATTGTGTTAATTATAACCTATATAACTGTTTGTAATCGGGGTATTCAGTAACAAAGATCGCGAATTCGTGAAATTATTCCGCGAATTAGAATCTCACACAAAAGATTTGCTTGCAGTTGGCAAAACCGCTTAGCCCATTCGACGTAATCCCTACTCGACCCAATTCGACCGTCGCATCGGCGAGTGTTGTAGAAGAAAAAAGAAAGTAGAACGGACGGCAAATAAATAACGTTCCACCACGGATAATGGTATATTTATTGAATGTACAATTATACATCCTATATTGATGAAAGGGAATGAATTGTTCTTGCGATTCTATCGCGAATAGTCTCGCTTTATTTTTCTTTGTTCGTACATTCATCCTCCCGAGAGAATCAATAACGACCGCGAAAAACAACTTCTCTGCCCGTTAATGTTACGATTATAGCTGCACGTTAATCAAGTTGAACGATCGGCACAAACGCTCACGTGACTATACGATCAGGGTTGCCCCAGAAAATAAATTTTTAAATTCCCTGACTTTTCCAGATAAAAATGGAAAACTTTCCAATATAAAATAAAATTTTAACACATTTAAAATCAAGAATTAGAAAGCTAGCTTATATTATTAAAAACAATACAAAAAGGCTTAGTAGCATACTAAAATTTTGGAAATTCAACCTAACAAAAAATAAATTAGTATTGGAAAAAAGAGTACAGTTACGAAAAAGAGCGATCAAATAAAAATACTGAATAAAATTTAAATTTTAATTATTTTATTAAAATCATTAAAAATGTGCAAGTTTTGAACATATTTCATTATAAACGTCAGATATAATATTAAAAAATTATAACAATTATCTGGAATAGGAGCAGTTTAAGGAAAGTGTGAACAAATTTCAAAATTCCAGATTTTTTTATATTTTTTCCTGATTTTTCCCGGTTTTCCTGGTCTGTGGCAACTCTAACGATATTCAAGGTCGATCGCAGGACGACGACCAGTGATAATAATGTCTATAGAACGTGATTACGTATCTTTCGGATTAATTAGAGAATTATCCTGACTTAGCTCAACTAAAAGTTTAATTCTAAGCTATGAACACTGCCGCATAGCACTACATATATATCGCGAATATTATCCGGACGAAATGGACTACAATTTTAATGTCTTCGACGAGGATACATATATGCATAGTTTGGATGGTAGCTGAGGGCGTGGAATGACTGCCGCAATAGCAAAATTGGAAAAAGTGCCGATCAAACAAAATTAATTGGTTTCCCCGCGTCGAACTGCAACAAAGCAACACTCGTTTCGAGCGAGAACGAGCCGATCCGAGGTCCTTCTCAGCCACGAATTATTTCGGAACTTTACTATATTCGGCCGATATCGCTTTTGTAATTCTATCGCGGGATAAAAGATCGTGTTTGACTAGAAACTACCGCGCGAAAGTATACAGACGGACGGCGCACGATCTATTCTGCCGAAATATAACATGTGGACCGACGTGCGACGTGCGGATTTTGCGGAAACCGTGTTGGAAATGGAAATATAGGGAAAACTCTGGTTACACAATCAAGCCAGCGAGAAATGTGTTCTTTTCTATAACGTGATCGAACCTCGGAAACTCGTTTCAATTATTTTCCCATGGTGTCGATTCACAGGGAAACATGATGGTACAATAATCTCGTTACACTATTGAAAAATTCTACCGAAAATATTGAATAATCTGCTTCATTAATTTTATGTAAACATAAAAGAAAGATTATTTGTTTTTTTCTTAACCTTTCATAGATATATTGAGTCTTTTTCGACCCAGGCGAAATTTCACTCTCAAATTTCTTGGCACGAATTTCAATTTTTATTAAATAAAGGTTTTAATATTTAAATTAAATCATTATTTGGCAATGTAGCAAAGATGTTGAAAAATAATCCTGATTTTTTTCTACACTTTCTGAAAGCCTAAAACACAGTAAAAAAATTTTGGACTGGACCAAAAAGATTTAGAGTGCCTATGAAGTAAATAAAAATAGGTATAAAGATTAATGATGAAATTTTATTAATTTAGCGTCAATAAAAGAATTTTCGAACCAAACATTCATAGTGCAATCAGATTTTAAATTATATTTTAAATCCTTATTCCGTTTATGTGTATTAACACATAAAATATACAATGTAATTATCTACATAAATGAAATACGTACAATTTACTTTTTTGCAAAACGAGCTATTTAAAGTTTCAAGGAAAAGCTATGGAAGTAATTGCTACGCAATAGTTGCCGCTATAGCGATCGTGATTATAAGTTACACATGGCTTTTATAACTAACTGAAAAGTCTTTTTCACGCGCCAGATCATGAAGTGGAGTTTCCCTCGACCGAGCTTGTTCGTTCGCCTCGGGGTTATTCGCAAACGTGCAAGCAGTTTCTATTTAACATTTAGTCATACGCTCGCATAGATACTCCACCGACCTACGCATTCGTCGTAAATCTTACCACTACACACACGAATACGATGGCCGACGATAAAGATATACATATATATATATATATATATATATATATGTACATCGATATACGAACACTCGCGCTGCTCGGTACGGATCGCCCGTTCTCTTCGATCTCAAAGCCACCCCTGCTCCGGTTTCATGGATGGAATTTCAGGAGAAACGTTTTATACGCCGGGTGCTCTCTCGGCTGGCACGTCGCCTCGAGCGCTTTGTCGGAGGGCAGTTAATTAATAAAAGCTGGAAAGAAGGGAGAGTACGAGGAAGCGCGTAACGGGAGCGACGGGGAGCGCCGGGCGTTGGTCCGGGGGGAGTGACGGGAGAGACCGGGTATAAACGGAACGAGAGGACGGGTATAAACGGAAGGTATAAAAGGATGGAACTATACTATCGTTTCATATCGGCTGGCTGAACTCCACACTTGCAATTCAAACGAGAACGGCACTCACGTGTCGTGAACGAGAAACTTGTCGCCGTTTTTCTCGATGCAGAAGCCCTTGCTGGTGATTTCGGAACCGTTGACGGTCACCAAGTCCGTAATCCCCGACTGGAACCACCGACCGTACCATTCCTCCGGGAACGTGCAGCCTGAAACAGAGGGATGGATAGAGAAGGGGAGTGTTTCAACCGCCTACGGGCGATGGGCGATATACTCGCTCGGTCGAAAAGTTTTTCAGATTTTAATCTGAAGATCCCCAAACCTGTTAATATGACGTTCACCGGAAACGCAAAACAATCCAATGCGGCTGCGGCTACGATATTTTTCTGGATCACCGACAAACAGCCAGCGGGCTTCGCGTCAGGGTTACCATATTCTTTCTTCATCAACGTGACCAAAAGGAATATAATGAAACAATTGTAAGCTGCTGTTGCTCTTCCCCTCCCACGGAGGCGGAAAATGTCGAGCCGCGCAGGATTATTTTCTCGTTCCCCGCGAGAAACGCGACGATTGCATGAATTGAAAAGCCAATGTTTCTCTTCGAAGTCGAGAGAAGAAAATACGTGCAATGTAATATTATATCAATGAAAAGGGATAATTCCATCTTGTTGTCTATTACACAGAGATCCCCGCGTGTAAACTGATTGCGACGGTCCGTATTTATCTATGGATTATGTGCAGATGTAGCCTGAACTATCGGACGTTATACACACAGGATGTTACATTTTAAATTCCGGATTTGATATCTGGGAAAACTCAACAACAGAAAAGAAACATTACATTTCTCATATCATATAATCGTGTAATCTCAATACGTGCAATCTCAATACGTCGTATAATGTAATCTCCATATCAAAATACTTTTCCCTATATTCGATGTTTCTTGCGTCTTCATACGTTTGGATATATAAATCAAAATAATGAAAAATCACCGTCCATTTCCATTGCTTTTAAGTAAGCGGATCTATTGTGCCGAGTGGACAACTGTGGTTGCTTGATGTAGGGAGGAGTCTTTTCTCACCCTCTATTTTCCTCTTTCCCCCCATTACCAAGCGTCTTTTCCGCCTAGTTTTCCACGAGCCGCGAGGGTAAATACGAGATTCCGCGAATATTTCGAATGCCTGTCGGCAACGGAGTCCGCCGTGAGCACAAACGAAGTTGTAAAAATGGAGAATCTCCTTAGAGAGATCGGATTATCGCGAAAGAGCGCAAGTAGGTGAAAGAGCCGTTCCCTCTTCGTCGCGCAATCATTTATCTTCTTTGCTCTCCTTCCCCCCCCCCCCCTTTCTCCTCTCTCTCTGCGTCTGCATCTGTAGTAACGAGGATTACAACGAGGAACGACGTCGCGATTAAGCATTGTTTGCCGGAAGCATTTTGCATTTAATAAGTCCAAGTGTTTCGGAATCTCGGATGAGCGGGAGTATCAACGGGGAGGAATAGACGAGACCGGAAGAAGAAAGGGGGAGGGAGGGATTGGAGAACAGGAAAGACGACGAGGAATCTCGCGAATTCGCTACACGAAGATACCGGCTCTGCTCTCGCAACTGCGTTTCGAAGTTGCGAAAACGGGGAAGTCGATGGTAACGACAGTGGGATTTATTAATACTCGGAGAGACAGACGAACGTGCACCTTTTGTGCCAATGCGTCGATATGAACATTTCTCGCTCTAATCTTTCTCTCCCCTCTCCTCTTGTTGTTTCTCTCTCACAATTGGAAACCGGATTATCTAGTTTCTGGACATGTGTGTTCGGCCATTACCGTGGCTCTTAATTTCCAGCTCCAGTAGATTACGTTCTACGGAGAACTGCAACGCGTATCAAGTATCCCCTCCCTAGTTGTCAGTGTCTAATAGCAGATGTATCGCATGACTACATTGTTTCCAGTCGCAACTGCGTCTTCAATTACATTGAGATGCAAACATCCGTAGCTGCATATATAGAGTTCTACTACTCTTGAACGATTTTGATGTCGAGCTCTTCATCAATGATAAATCTGAAACTATGTTATACTTGTAACTTTTGTGTAACCCGTAATTTGTCTATTATTTGTATAATTTACGAAATTCCAAATAACAGATAAACCGCTCCGTTTCCTTCTGATCATTAAAGGATTCTCTCCGTAGCGCAATTCAAGAACATACCTCGCAAGATAATTATCGTTACCGACATCACAACGATGCTAATTGTAAGTATCGCGGATCTTTACTGAGAGGAGATGAGAGAAAGAATTAAGGAAAATAAGGAGAAAAAACTGGAGAAAGTTAGAGGGAAGGATAGACGGAAAATAAAGAGAAGAAGAGAGTAAAGGAGAAGGTGGCAGTAGGTAGCCACGGTATAATTAACGGAAATTGGAGTTAGGTCAAAAAGCAAAGTTATCGGGGAGAGTTGCCGGTGCAACGAGCCAGTCCGCGAGCGCGCGAGCGCGTACGCAAGAGGACCGGCTTTTTCCGGGGCAGCAGCCGCTGATATAATTACTAATTAATTACCGTTCCTGCGACACCGCGCCGCGCCGCGTCGTGCCGGCACCGTTTCGACGGGCTCACTTAAAAGGATACTGTATGAACACGGGAAACGGAAGTGACTATAATAAATAATCTCTCGGAGGCATCTCCGAGCGAAGCGATATTTTGCATCGCGACAATCAGTTCGTCTATTTTAAGTAGCCACCCCCGTTCCGATACACCTCCATTCGCGACTGCAACTATTTTAATAGCTGACGTCAAATTCGGCCTTATTCAATTCTTTATAACGGAGTCCATCGCGTTGGCGTACGAGTATCTTCAATTTTAAAGGATGACAAGTTTTTCTTTTTTTTTTGTTTCCTCACCGGTTAAAATAGGAAACGCTTGTAACTACAAACTTTTATAATTAGATTGTTTACTTTGATTATTTTGTATATGATAGAAAGAGATAAAAGTGATGCTGAGAAGTTCTTTCTATATATTAACCTAATACATATATGTGTACTATTTATGGATTAAATGTGATTATAAATATGTGTGAGTAGATGCAGTGGCAGCCATGCTTGATAACAGAACATGGCAGCAAAATGAGCAATCTCACGGAAAGAACTTTTTTTATATATTCTTTTTTTGCTGAAATACGTTTTAGATACAAAATAATATTTAAATAATTTAAAAATAATATAGAACTATCAAAATAATTATGCAAAATGCTCAAACTAGTTGCCAGAATGTCTTTTGGCGGCATTGTTTATTATACTTAAGCGTTCTGCATAATTATTTACTGATTTAAAAAAATTATTTTCAGATTTATATCTAGCCAAATTTTTATAGATAGTTCAATAAAACTATTTGTTCTACGTAGTTATAGAAATCTTATAATGATCAGTTTATTATATGTATAGTGATCAGTGTGTTGCTAAAAAAGAGAGATCCAGCAGAAAAAAAGAGAGAGAGAAAACGATCCCAAAAAGATTGTTTAAAATTTCTCTCTCTCTCTCTCTCTCTCTCTCTCTCTCCTCCTTCTCTCCCTTCTTCTCTCTCCATAATTCCATATTTTCATTTGTCTACCGTAGACAATTTTGTCTTTCTGTGTAATTCATTTAAATTAGGAATAATAAATACAATCTGTATTTTAGAGTATTATGAACTCTGAAGAGAAAGAAGGGAAATGTTAGTTCATCAAGTATTTTTTATGCCGATGTCTTTTTTCATAAACTCTCATAGTAATAATATATTTAATGTTTTTACATATGGAATGATCTTATCGTAAAGATCGCACCGCAAGAGAACGATTCCGAGAAATAAGAGCGGATTACAGCTCGATCCACCGTCGACTGAATACTCGTATTTCCTGTAATCGCATGGACTTCTCCACAAAGTGGGGCTTGCCCGAAAAGAAGAAACTCACACATCTTGAAGGTAAAGAACGAGGGTGTTTTGCCACAGCCAACTGAGAGATCGATCTTCCAATATCAAATTATTGTTCTTGATATCTCAATATTCACGATAAAATCTAGAAGAATCGAATATTGTAGAATCTGTTTTATTGTCATGCAATTCAATGATGATGGAAATTAAAAAATACATGGAAAGTTAATGACTAATGATAATTTTTTCGGACATTGTTGATATCTTTACTCTCTTCATGTTATTTTTTAGAAATACAGTAATTTATGATACTCTCCATATGAATTTTTTCAAACGTTTGACAATAAATCATTGAATCTACATAGAAAAAAGGATTTTAGTGAAATATAATATCTAAAAATGTAGCTAAATATAGATCTGAAAATAATTTGTTGGATCATCAAAATAGTAAAAATAATTATATAAGAAATTTAAACATGAGTAATGTCGCTGAAAATTTTTATATTCTTGCAATCAACTTGAATATCCTAAACAATTATTTTGTAATTTTATTTAAATATTTGGTAATTTAAAAAATTATTTTCAGATTTATATATTTAGTTAAATGTTTAAATACTTTAACGTTTAAATATTAAAACGTTTTTTCCGAATAATAATGTTTGTCAAATATTTATGAAATATTCCATATTACCATGTTAATAAGCGCTATACAAAATACAACAAAATATTTACAATATTATCTGCTAAAACCAATTTCATCTGCCTACATCCTAATTTTTAATTATACGTCTTATAATTTTCAGCTTAGTCATTTTTTAATTGACTTTCTCTACGATCGAACATTGTTGAAAAAGTTTAACAAGGAATATTATATTAAAACGGAGCAATATTTTACGAAAGCAGAAAAAGAAATTCGTACGAATGAACTTGGAGATATCGAAAGTCCCTGGAAACTCGATAAGAACTTGGAAACTCACGTAGCCGGCCGTCGATCAATTCGTCATCAGAGAAGTTAAAAAATACATTATCGAAGAAGCGCGAGGAGAAAAGAAAAGACGAGAACTACATAGAGATTAGCGATTTACACTTAGCCGACGTTCGCGAATTATTGAAAAAAATCACTCGAGCGTGAGGTAGTTCGAGATAAACTTTTCAAGCAGCGCAAGATCTCTCAACAATAATTCAGTACCGTACTCTGTACATCGCTGTTTCCCAGGATACATTCAAATAAAACTGTTGAAACTGTTGAAACATTTCTTCGTTTCTTTAAAAAGGCAAGTGATAAGGATATATAAAGCGATCGCTAACGATTGATA